CACAGATCATTTATGCCATTATCACCTTCTGTATCTCCTCATCATACATTTGGATCTTTTCAACAAACCTTTGGATCGGTTAGTCCTTTTATTATCTTCTTTTAGTCATTATAAATCATTTGTGTTCTAATGAATTGAAATAATTCCTTTTTGTGCTTCTATAACATACATCTAGTCTCAAATGACATAAAAGCCCTTAAGTTTGGCAGAAATGTGCCTTTTGTGTATTCTCCCTATAATTTATGTGTTTTAGTAAATGAAGTACCTTAATTTTACCCGAAAATGACAGAAATGTAACCTTTTTTATTTATATTCTTCAGACATCTCAACAGCCACCATCATTCTACGGAGCAAGCTCTTACGACACCACCTATTTAAACAACGGCCTCACTCCAAACCACGCGTTTGCCACGTCATCACTCTCCACGCCAGATGGACGACCATGGCCCACACTCGACAACACCAGACGCCGAGGTGGCAGGGGACCCACTTCTCTTTGCAGTTGTAGTTCCACTCTTGATATTCTCAGTGAACAAAACCGTGGTCCCAGAGCCTCTAGACCTAAATCCCTTTTACCTACCGATAACATTCCCAATAACAACAACAACAATAATAATAATAATAATAATAATAATAATAATAATAACATGGATGCTTCCTCCCAAAGCCTCTCGGATTCTGTCTCGGAATACACCACTGAGGCTAAATTCTTCATCATCAAATCCTACAGTGAAGATAATGTCCATAAATCCATCAAATACAGTATTTGGGCTAGCACTTCAAATGGAAACAGGAAGTTAGATTCTGCATATCGTGAAGCAAAAGAGAAGCAAACTTCTGTTCACATATTTCTGTTTTTCTCAGTGAATGCAAGTGGACAGTTTTGTGGGGTGGCTGAAATGGTAGGGGGTGTTGACTTTGACAAAAGTGTGGATTACTGGCAACAAGATAAATGGAGTGGGCAGTTTCCAGTTAAATGGCATATCATTAAAGATGTTCCCAACAGTCAGTTTCGCCATATAGTTTTGGAAAATAACGACAACAAACCTGTCACCAATAGTCGAGATACACAGGAGGTAATTTGACCTTATTGCCCTTTTGTTATGAGTATGAGATATTAATCATGAATATCGAATGGATGAATTATTACAGGTGAAATTTGAGCAAGGAGTTGAAATGTTGAAAATTTTCAATAAATATGAAACTGATATGTCGATTCTCGATGACTTTGACTTTTATGAAGAAAGACAGAAAGCCATGCAAGAGCGAAAAGCAAGACAACAACAACAACAGCAACAACAGGGAAACTTGGGGGGTGGAAATGAAAATAAAAATGTTAATGAGTTTATCCGCCAGATGTCCAAAAGTTTCTCGGAGGTTGTCCGCCTGGAAGACAAAGATACTGCCAAGTCAACACGTGTAAAACTCGAAAAAACCGCCATGTCGCCGCCAGGTGTCGACACCACGGATTAGTAAGTTTCGTGGTTTCCTTCCTTTCACTGCTTCTAAGGATAATAGTTTTTTATAATTCATGATAAATTCGGATCAATAATGATACTAATGATAATAATATAATTCCTTGGTTTCTTTCTTTCTGATGATACTAATGATAATAATATAATTCCTTGGTTTCTTTCTTTCTGTTTATTTTATTTGTTGATTTCAACAAGTTATATATATAAGTGTATTACATTGTTTCTAGTCTTGTTGTCATTTTTGGAGCATTACAACTTTAACAAATGGAAATCTTTTTTTTTTTTTTTTTTTTTTTTTTTTTTTAAATGAATTTTAGTCTCTCTTCCACATCAGCCTTTTCTCTCTCTCTTTCTTAAACCATCTTTCAACCATAGAAATGTATATATTTATCATCCTCCCATAAACTTTAGAGTACAAAAAACAATGCATGTGGTACAAATCATTGGAGGGTAAGGTAAGAATACCGCTTTTCAGCTTTTTGAAATGGTTAATCATTGGAGAAAGTTTGTTAAATGTGTTTTTGTTAAATAAATGTTAATGGAGACGTGACAAAAAAATATACAGTATATATATTTAAAAGATTAACAAAGGAAATGTCTTAATAAAAATGTCTTTGATGGAAAAGAATGTTGCACACTTTGTGATCAGCTGTGAAGT